AGAGAGAGAGAGAGAGAGAGAGAGAGGGTCTCCATACATGGACATGGCTTGTGGTATGTGACCTTGCTCTTCTCTTGTTGACCCCTGAAACATCTGTGTATTGTCTCCCAGCCAGCTGACATTTCGTGATTTTGTTCACACTTGGCTGCAAACTGATTAACTTCTTTTTGTAAAACAATGTGTTTTATTTTTTTCTCTGTGTTGGAATTTGCTTGGCAGAGGCTCTATTGAATGTTACAGCTACAACCAACAGCACTCTGCCTGTGCAGCCTTTACCAACGGAAGGGAATTCCATTCAAGACAAGGCCAAGGTATGTACCCCAAGACCCATATATATGACAATATAAATCTCTCGTGTGAGGGCCTCGTTGACTCGCCATCCCAGAACATTTTGAATGTATTTGTGCATGGGTTCCTTTTCGGTTGCATTCAAAATCTTACCGAATGGCGGGTGGTGCAAATAGGGCCTTAGGCTGAACTGGAAGTTGTCTTTTGATATGCTGAGCTGGAGGATAGTTGACCGGCTCAGCATAACACGAGAGAGAGAGAGAGAGAGAGAGAGAGAGAGAGAGAGAGAGAGAGCTTCCAGTTGTGCAGAACTGTATGACAGTTGGCGTATGGGATTGGCCAAGGACCTTGAGGTGAAGGAAAGGAGGTGGCTGGTGCTGTTATCGAGTGGTGGGGCTATTCAAGTCAAGAAGTCAGGTGATCCACTAATCTGTGTTAATCAGCCCTGTGCCGGATGCCGGATGATGGGAATGATGAGCAATGTAGCACTCAGAAGTGTCACTGAGGGCTAGGCCCCGCTGGTGCTGTGTTCCTGCTGAAAAAATATTAACCCTGCCGTGAAACTGGTCAGGTTCATGGTAAGATAGCACAGACATAGCAGCTGAGGGGTTCTAGATTCTGCAAGAAGAAAAACACTGAAACCAAGTAACTGAACAACACACTGGAAATGATCTGTAAATTGAAGGATACTTGTGCTCCAGAAACAGGGTTGACGTCAACAGTAAAAGAAGAGCGGAAGGAATATGAGCAGGAGCGATATACATAAAACCAAGTTTCAAAATCATGCAGAAGTCGAGATAGTCATGTACCAAGCAGAGAGCTCAGATGCACCAAGATTCGATCCAAATAAGAGCAATACAGTGAACTCGTGAGCCAATGTTCAAGCCCTCAGGCCACACCAACACAGTATTCAATGTCGCTCCTCTCTGTCTGGCGCCCACCGTCCAGCCTACTCTACCTGTCCTGTACTACGTATCCCACCTACGTTCATCCAACAGGCCCATTTCGACTTTGAAGACCAATGCACATGTCGTCAACACCAATGCGGACCTCCCACATACACTAGGTACGTATTCTCGTCTCCCTCATCAACCCCTGACCACCCACTTCTGCACCTCCTCCCAAAGACCCCTGCCGCCCTCCTCTGCCTTGCGCCCTGCAGCCTGGCTATGGCCGCTAGGGCCCCAGTGCCCTGCCGTGCCCCTCACCTCCCCAGCCAGCAATGCGTATGCGGAGCTTGCGAGCGCAGCAGCGTGTCCGCATTGCCTGCCTACGCCAGCCTCCTTCTCTGGCTGGCTATATGGAAGTGGCCGATGCTGCTGGACTCCGTGGGCCTGGCCGTGGAAGTTTCCAGTAGCTTCTGGTCGGGCCTCAGTGTCTGTGCCCAGGCCCATCTCGATATTTGAGGTCCTGGGCCCTTGTGGGCCTGGCCGTGGAAGTTTCCAGTAGCTTCTGGTCGGGCCTCAGTGTCTGTGCCCAGGCCCATCTCGATATTTGAGGTCCTGGGCCCTTGTCAGTTAGGCACACCCAGAATTACCCAGGCTTTGAATGTTTGCTGCATTTGCACTGGCCCATGGGGTAGATACAACGACAATGCTGCTTTCTTGTTGGTCCGTGGCCACTTCGTGATGTGTCGGCCAGGGCACAACCACCCGCGCGCTGGGCTCAACTGCCTGGCGCAGTTGCTTCTGCCGGAAGAGCCCAGGGTAAGGCTCAGGTTGCACTTCAACCAACTGTCATGCAGCAACTGTCTGAGACCTGCATTGGAAAATGCTGAGATAAGGGCCTCTCATGAATATTCAGGCCCACCTCGTGAATATTCAGGCCCACCTTCACTTAGAGCGGGCACGAGGCTTGCTGGGGGACCACATTCCAGAACATATGCATGTTGCCTAGGGCCCCCTGAGGACACAGTCCTCCCAGGAGAGTGCAGGGATCGGGAAAAGAAATGGGAGGGTCATTCCTTGCCATGCCATGCCATGCCGTGCCGACACCCAGGAGGCTCTTGGTGCTACTTTCTTCCCCCGAATAGAACATTGCCATTATCACTGTATTTAGACTGAAAGTTGCCTCAAATACAGCTATTAACGAGGGTGCGTTCTATTTGCACGGGCGGGGAGGTGGAATACAGTAGCTTACCCATTGAAGAGCTCCTCATGTGATGACAACGGCAGAACAATATGCAACACTTAACGTTCAAATAAAAAAGAAAGGACTTCAGAGAATTTCACTGATGTCATCAAAGCACATTTGAATCCACATCAATGTCATATTCTAATATAAAATGATGACAGTGAAGTCTCCGAAAATTTCCAATCAAGGACTGGGGCAGTAAAGTGGTCGAAATGCAGGAAAGAAAAATATGCTATCGAACAGACGGCCGCACACAAAGAAAAGCTGGAGAGGCTGGAGTGACAGAAGAAGATTGAAAGAAAAAAGGAGAAGAGCAAGGTTGGGGACAAAGTTCTCTCTTCCACAAAGAGACCTCCCCTTCACTATCTCCACTGAAGTTGAACAACAAAAGTGTTACGGATGAATCTCTCCTTGGCGAAGAACCCTCTCCACCACTATCTCCATCACCGTCAACAAGCAAGCATTATAATTTATAATATTGAATGCCAAGAACTTCGTATAATAACCGTAATGAACGTTAAAACACAGCTCTTTGTGCCACCCCCCTCGCGCACCCCCTGCTCCTTGCCCACCCAAAAAAGGGCTTGTTCTTCTCCCAACTTCCCCACCTTTTTGCTCTCTCTCTCCCCCTTTTGGATGTGCTGACTGCAGAGGTAAACTGCCTACTTTGGTGGTTACCAATCTCTCAGTGAAATGGAGGCTTCAAGCACAAGGAAGTGGTGACTCTGTGCACTTTAAGTCGTGAAGTAGACTTTTCTCTTAACTCGTGCTGTTTGAGAGCACACAAGAAGGTGGAAACACACAAGAAAATGGATAACGAGAGCTGGTGGACAAGAATGCAGGGGCAAGCTCCTGCCATGTGGTTTCCACTGCCACTCTTGCTGTCAAGAACTGACCACTGCCTTCCCAGCAATAAAACACCCGGCCGCATTTGGGGCAATTTTGAGTCTACATATGGTGATAATGACTGTCGCATTATATTGAGTGAAGACGGTAGCATGCGGATACTGTCCTCCTCCGCTGCTCTGGCTATGACAGTCCCTCAATACCTGTCGGCAACCCTGCACATTTTATTGATGTGTGTTTGGTTATTTCTATTTGTATTTACTTATTGGTGGGGGGAGGGGGTAACTAACACACACACTCAGAGAAGTGAGCAGGTTCAAGCTACTTCAAAGCCCACCCCTGGGGATGCATGGGTACCCAAAGGGCGGGACGGGTCCCTGACGGCAGCTACTTCACAGGGCTGTTGCTTGTCCAAAGTGGCCAGTACATGTCTCACAGCATGATGCTCAGCAAGAATGTGTCAGAGGGACTTCTGGCAGGGCTTTCGGCAAGCCTGGGAAGGATTTTATCATTTGGCCACAGGCAGCTACTTCAAAGGGCTGGTGCTTGTCCAAAGTGGTTAGCACATGTTGCACGCCACAGTGCTCAGCAAGAATGTGGCAGTGGAACTTCTGGCAGGGCTTTCAGCAAGCCTTGGAAGGATTTTAAGCATTTGGCCACAGGCAGTCTACTTCAAAGGGCTTTTCCCATCCCAAAGTGGCTAGTACATTTCACACAACATGATGCTCAGAAAGAATGTGTCACTGGGGCTTCGGCAGGGCTCTCGAAAGGATTTTATCTTTTGGCAGCACATGGTATACCATCCTCCTACCATCCTGGTCTGATCCGGACCGAGCCAGCCTCTGCCCAGCCTGGCCCCACATGTTGTGCTGCCATGTGTTCCTCTCATGTGTGCCTGTATTGCCTAAATCGAGTAAACATTGCTTAGAAGGCATGGCCATGCATAAGTCTGCTATTGTGTTGGCATATTACCTTTGCCCTCTTATCCGCGTGCTCACACTGCAAAATATTCTTTGCGTGGCTAGAATTCTCTTCCTTTGTTTTTTTTTTTCGTTTTGTTTCTCAATAATCCTGTTCAGTGGCTTGTTGTGGGCCATTCAGAATGGAATCACATGTGCTGTGAGGCCTTAAACCACCAGTGCCCTCACTGCCCTGCCTGCACATAGTTTTTGGACCTCCTGAAGTATTCAAGGGGGCATCCAGGATGGTCGGCTGAGACACACTTGAGGCACGCCTGTGCTGTGAGGCCTTAAACCACCAGCGCCCAGCCGGCATATTTTTTCGGACCTCCTGCAGCATCAGCCGAGACACAGTCGAGGCACACTCGAGGCTTGGGTGGAGTTTCATTTTCAAAATCGGGGACGAGAAATACTGAGTAAGAACCGCATTGAAAAAGCACCAGAGAAGGAAAAGGCAACAAAAGAAAAACTGAAAAGGCAGCAAAAACTTAAAATGCAGTATAACAAGAATGAAAGGCGACAAAAAAGGAGAACGTGGCCTTCTGAGAGGTAGCTTTGCTTGCAGGGTTCCACTGTATAGGCTGAGTAGTGGTAGGTAAATATTGAAAGGTGAAAGTTTGAGATGCAATCAGACTCGCTTTCATTCACACTTTTCATGCATGCAAACAGTAGCGCAGCAAACTGGCGACATGCACCCACGCAAAACTCGGAGATATGGCAACCCAGATACGAGTTCACTCTCAATGGCTATGGCGACTCAGCGCCCACACAACTCTCTGTTCGCATACACCGGATCACCCTGGATATCCCACACGCGTTACTCTGCACTCACACATCCACACACATACTACACACTAACTCTAGCTATGGCGGCTATGGCTGCAACTACCCTATCGCTATGCCACGCTCCGTCTCTCTCGCCCTCTTCGGCCCCGGGCTCACTGCAGACCTCCTTGCACAAGTCGCTGTGGCAGTGCTTCTGCATGGTTCACGCAGGAATGAATGAATGGCTGGGCGCTGCCTCTTGATTTATACTTCTGAAGCTCGTTGGTCTGCCCTTTTCCATCGGCCCATGGTGCTCACAG